ACCCACTCACCCACCCACTCACCCACTCACCCACTCACCCACCCACCCACTCACCCACTCACTCACTCACCCACTCACTCACCCACTCACCCACCCACCCACTCACCCACTCACTCACCCACTCACTCACCCACCCACTCACCCACCCACTCACCCACCCACTCACCCACTCACTCACCCACTCACTCACCCACCCACTCACTCACCCACCCAGCCACACAAGTTATCCATTAGACGCAAATTCCACCCTCTCTGTCCTCACTGAGAACCCTCTTTGCCCTCTGCGGCAGTGTGCAACATGAAGACAAAGGTCCCCCGTGTAGCCTCGTGCAGGCTGCAGGGGCAAGTGCCGTGGGCATCAAAGCACCGCGCCCGGCCGCTTTTGTATCCCCCCAATTGGCGATGTTCACTAGCCACAGCCTCACCAGGTACTCATTTGAGGCTGCGTCGACCTAGGGGAGGACCGGGGCCGGTTCAGATAATCGTCACTGGTGGTGTTGGCCGTGAGCGGGAATCGAACCCGGGTCGCCAGGTTCATAGTGCAGCGTAGCGCTAACCACTACACTATCGCTCCCCACACACACAGTGACACACACAGTGACACACACACAGTGACACACACAGACACACAGACACACACACATAGACACATAGACAGACACACACACAGACAGACACACACACAGATACACACACACAGATACACACACACAGATACACACACACAGATACACACAAAAGACAAAGACAAAGATCCCCCGTATAGCCTTAACAGACTGTAGGGGCAAGTGCTGTTAGCGAGCACCTATGAAGGCCGGAACGGTACACGAGGGGGTGGGTGGCCAGCACCACGCCCGACCGCCTTTGTCTCCCTAGTGACGATGTTTACACACCACACCAGGTACTCATTTGAGGCTGAGTCGACCTAGGGGAGGCCCGGGACCGGTTCAAATAATCGTCACTGGTGTTGGCCGTGAGCGGGAATCGAACCCGGGTCGCCAGGTTCATAGCGCAGCGTAGCGCTAACCACTACACTATCGCTCCCCACACAGATACACACACACACAGACACACACACAGACACACACACACAGATACACATACAGATACACACACACAGACACACACACACAGACACACACACACAGACACACACAGATACACACACACAGATACACACACACACAGACACACACACACAGATACACACACAGATACAGATACACACACACAGACACACACACACACAGATACACACACACACAGATATACACACACACAGATACACACACACAGATACACACACACACAGACACACACACACACAGACACACACACAGACACACACACACACAGATACACACACAGATACACACACACACAGACACACACACACACACACAGATACACACACACAGATACACACACACACAGACACACACACACAGACACACACAGATACACACACACAGATACACACACACACAGACACACACACACAGATACACATACAGATACACACACACAGACACACACACACAGATACACACACACAGATATACACACACACAGATACACACACACAGACACACACACAGACACACACACACAGACACACAGACACAGACACACACACACACACAGACACACACACAGATACACACATAGACACATAGACAGACACACAGACGCACACACACATAGACACACAGACACACACAGATACACACACACAGATACACACACACATGCACACACACACACAGATACACACACAGATACACACACAGATACACACAGACACACACACACAGATACACACACAGATACACACACAGACACACACACACAGATACACACACAGACACACACACAGACACACACACAGATACACACACAGATACACATACACAGATACACACACACAGATACACACACAGACACAGATACACACACAGATACACACAGATACACACACAGATACACACACACAGATACACACACAGACACAGATACACACACACAGATACACACACAGACACACACAGATACACACACAGATACACACACAGACACACGTAGACACACACACAGACACACATAGACACACACAGATACACACACAGATACACACACAAACACACATAGACACTCACACAGACACACACACAGACACACACACACAGACAAATACACACACAGATATACACACACACAGATACACACACAGATACACACACAGACACACACACACAGACACACACAGATACACACACACAGATACACACACACATAGACACACAGACACACACAGATACACACACAGATACACACACACATAGACACACACAGTCACACACAGACACACACACACACACAGACACACACATAGACACATAGACAGACAACAACAACCGCCATTCGCCACTAAGTGGCGGTGACGTCACCACGACGCTTGTGCCAGGCTATGTGCACCCTGAGGCCACGTGAAGTGTCGAACGCCCGCTGGCAGGAGGTCACGGGGCAGACCCAGGTGCCACGGGTCGACTGACTGAGATGACTGGCTGATGCACCACCTGTGCCCCCTACTGTGCCAACCTGCTGTGCTTTAGCCACCCGGCGCTCCGCTCGTTGTTGTGAGCGTCGCTCCTCAGCCCTCCGTTGTTGTTGGAGGGCGACTGCCTCCAACTGCCCAGTAGCATCCTTCACGAGCCTCCTCCACAGAGGCCGATCTTGACACCGCTGGTACCAGTCATCGGCAAGTCCACTCAGCTCCACGTCCTCCTGTACCACATCACTCCATCTCCTCACATAGACACACACACACAGACACACACACACACAGACACACACACACAGACAGATACACACACAGACACACACATAGACACATAGACAGACAGACACAGATACACACACAGATACACACACACACAGACACAGATACACACACAGACACAGATACACACACAGATACACACACACAGATACACACACAGACACAGATACACATACACAGATACACACACACACAGACACACATACAGATACACACAGACACACACAGATACACACACACACAGACACAGATACACACACACACAGACACACATACAGATACACACACAGACACACACAGATACACACAGATACACACACACAGATACACAGACACACAGATACACACACACAGATACACACACACAGATAAACAGACACACACACAGACACAACAACAACAACCGCCATTCGCCACTAAGTGGCGGTGACGTCACCACAACGCTTGTGCCAGGCTATGTGCACCGTGAGGCCACGTGAAGTGTCGAACGCCCGCTGGCAGGAGGTCACGGGGCAGACCCAGGTGCCACGGGTCGACTGACTGAGATGACTGGCTGATGCACCACCTGTGCCCCCTACTGTGCCAACCTGCTGTGCTTTAGCCACCCGGCGCTCCGCTCGTTGTTGTGAGCGTCGCTCCTCAGCCCTCCGTTGTTGTTGGAGGGCGACTGCCTCCAACTGCCCAGTAGCATCCTTCACGAGCCTCCTCCACAGAGGCCGATCTTGACACCGCTGGTACCAGTCATCGGCAAGTCCACTCAGCTCCACGTCCTCCTGTACCACATCACTCCATCTCCTCACATAGACACACACACACAGACACACACACACACAGACACACACACACAGACAGATACACACACAGACACACACATAGACACATAGACAGACAGACACAGATACACACACAGATACACACACACACAGACACAGATACACACACAGACACAGATACACACACAGATACACACACACAGATACACACACAGACACAGATACACATACACAGATACACACACACACAGACACACATACAGATACACACAGACACACACAGATACACACACACACAGACACAGATACACACACACACAGACACACATACAGATACACACACAGACACACACAGATACACACAGATACACACACACAGATACACAGACACACAGATACACACACACAGATACACACACACAGATAAACAGACACACACACAGACACAACAACAACAACCGCCATTCGCCACTAAGTGGCGGTGACGTCACCACAACGCTTGTGCCAGGCTATGTGCACCGTGAGGCCACGTGAAGTGTCGAACGCCCGCTGGCAGGAGGTCACGGGGCAGACCCAGCAGGTGCCACGGGTCGACTGACTGAGATGACTGTGGCTGATGCACCACCTGTGCCCCCTACTGTGCCAACCTGCTGTGCTTTAGCCACCCGGCGCTCCGCTCGTTGTTGTGAGCGTCGCTCCTCCGCCCTCCGTTGTTGTTGGAGGGCAGCTGCCTCCAACTGCCCAGTAGCATCCTTCACGAGCCTCCTCCACAGAGGCCGATCTTGAATGCCGCATAGATCCAGGCGGTACCGGTCCAGCTCCTGACAGAGGAGTGGGCAGCCTCTCCTCTGCAGTGAGCGTTGGAACATTCCACGTGGCCACACGAAGTGGCTTTTCGTTGATTCTGGAGGAGCCCCGAGGGTAGAGATTCAATCTCCTGGCTCTGCCAAATGGCGTTTGGCCAGGAGACGTCATAGACGCCTGTCCCCCCGGGGCCTCCGGCACAAGCTTATTAGTTAGATATTTCAGTTTAACTCGTGGTTTCATGGTAATTTCCTGAAGTTGGAGGGGTTGCCAGCCCCTCGCACCCGTCCAGAGCCCCCGTTTAGCCACTGTGGTGGTCACAGACGCCATGAGGGGAGAGGGCCAATCGGAATTGGCCCTCCCCCCACAGCACTGTCCACGACAGAGTTGCCCGTCCGGCACCGCGAGGAGGTAGGGGGTTGTTTTGCCGGACGTACACACACACACACACAGATAGACACACTGTGTAATCTCTCTCCCCACATCTTCTCCCCCCCCCTCATCTCCCCCCCCCCCATCTCCCCCACCACCACCATCATCACCACCATCATCACCATCACCACCACCATCACCATCTGCTCCAGGCTTCCGTCATGCTCCTCCGAGGCTGTGGGAGGAGGCTCCCACTGGTCGTGTCGACTCATCGCTGCCTCTCATCACCACCATCACCACCATCACCACCACCACCACCACCATCATCATCATCACCACCATCACCACCACCACCACCACCATCATCATCATCACCATCATCAACACCATCATCATCGTCGTCGTCAAAGTCAAAGCCATCAGTGCCACTGCATCCGCAGTGGGCTGAACTAGCCAAGCAGCAACTGAAGGTATGTGAAACAATCACCACCACCACCATCACCACCACCACCACCATCATCATCACCACCACCATCAGCATCACCATCAAAAACAACAACCGCCATTCGCCACTAAGTGGCAGTGACGTCACCACGACGCTTGTGCCAGGCCACGTGCACCTTGAGGCCACGTGGAGTGTCGAACGCCCGCTGGCAGGAGGTCACGGGGCAGACCCAGCAGGTGCCACGGGTCGACTGACTGAGATGACTGAGATGAGTGGCTGATGCACCACCTGTGCCCCCTACTGTGCCAACCTGCTGTGCTTTAGCCACCCGGCGCTCCGCTCGTTGTTGTGAGCGTCGCTCCTCCGCCCTCCGTTGTTGTTGGAGGGCGACTGCCTCCAACTGCCCAGTAGCATCCTTCACGAGCCTCCTCCACAGAGGCCGATCTTGACACCGCTGGTACCGGTCATCGGCAAGTCCACTCAGCTCCACGTCCTCCTGTACCACATCACTCCATCTCTTCTCTAGCCCGTGCCGCGCCCGTTTAGCCCCCTCGATCCGGCCGAACAAAAGCTGATAGTAATAGGTGTGGTGCTGCAGGTTACTTTTTTGATGGAGTTAAATAGAGATTTGTGATCGTGGGCCATTGAAGCAGACTCCGTCTCCTCAGCAACCCGCGACCATCACCCATCCTTGCAGCGCCTCACGGCTCTCCGAACCTCCGAGCGAAGGCTGCGGTAAGCCTCCTCATTCTCTGACGTGGGATTCTGTAGCCGATGACAGTGGGCCTGTCGCTTTTTCTCAACCATCCTGAACAACTCCTCTGTCATCCAGGGTGTCTGGGGAGGTCTGGACCGCGTACCCAAAGCAGCCATTGCAGCTGCATGAGCCACAGTCCTAAACCTCGCCCATTTACCCTCGACATCAGGAGGAGTCGGGGACGATGCCAACCCCAGCTGCAAGCGTTGATGAAATTCTCGCTTGCAACTTTCATCAGATAACTGAGACCAGGCCACTTTAGGTTGGAATGGGGTCCTGGGTGTACACCCACCGCCGGAGTGGAAGAATGGCAGGCACATCTTACAGATGACTAGTCGATGGTCAGAGGGCAGATCAGCTCCACGGTAGGTCCTGGTGTCAAGGACATGGGCTCGCATCCGCTGGTCCGTCACTATGTAGTCCAGCAGATGTTCTTGCTTGGACCCGGCATGCATCCACGATGTTGTGTGGATACGCCGATGCCGGAACAGCGTGTTGGTAATTACAAGCCCATGGGCTGCACAAAAATCTAGCAGCCTCCTACCGTTGTTATTGAGCTGATCTGGCCCATGCCCTCCAATCACTCCAGACCAGGTGCCAGCATCATGACCAACTTGGGCATTGAAGTCGCCCAACAAGATGACTCTATCCCGAGGGGCCACTTTAGCCAGCACCTGTGACAGGAGGTCATAGAAGGCATCTGACTCATCGGCCTTGCCTGCATCCCTCCACTGATTTTCGTCTTCAGTGGGGGCATAAGCAACCACGACCACCACTCCTCGCCTCCGGTTGATGGGAAGGCGAGCCCAAAGTAGCCTGGGGCTCACAGCTTCCCACACCTCACCGCCACGCTCCCACGCCCCCTTCATTCTTTTGTTCAGAAGAAGACCCACACCCTGTTGTTTGGCAGTAATCTGCCCCGAGTAGAGGACTGACCACCCCTCATGGTGGCAGGAGCCAGAGCCGGTCCACCGGACCTCCTGAATGCCACAGAGATCCAGGCGGTACCGGTCCAGCTCCCGACAGAGGAGTGGGCAGCCTCTCCTCCGCAGTGAGCGTTCGAACATTCCACGTGGCCACACGAAGTGGCTTTTCGTTGTTTCTGGAGTAGCCCCGAGGGTTGAGATTCAATCTCCTGGCTCTGCCAATTGGGGTTTGGCCAGGAGACGTCATAGACGCCTGTCCCCCCGGGGCCTCCGGCACAAGCTTATTAAGTAGATATTTTAGATGTGAAGGTGGAGGGGTCACCAGCCCCTCGCACCCATCCATAGCCCCCATTGGGTCACTGTGGTGGTCACAGACGCCATGAGGGGAAAGGCCAATCGGAATTGGCCCTCCCTCCACAGCATTGTCCACGACAGAGTTGCCCGTCCAGTACCCTCACCACCACCCTCACCACCACCCTCACCACCACCAACCTCACCACCATCACCACCATCATCACCACCACTATCACCACCACCATCACCACCATCATCACCACCACTATCACCACCACCATCACCACCATCATCACCACCACCATCACCACCATCACCACCACCATCACCACCACCATCACCACCACCATCACCACCATCATCATCACCACCACCATCACCACCCTCATCACCACCATCACCATCACCACCACCATCATCACCACCATCACCATCACCACTATCACCACCACCCTCATCACCACCACCATCACCACCATCATCACCACCATCACCACCATCACCACCCTCATCACCATCACCACCATCACCACCATCACCACCATCATCACCATCACCACCACCCTCACCACCACCACCACCACCCTCACCACCACCACCACCACCACCCTCACCACCATCACCACCACCATCACCACCATCACCACCACCAACCACCACCACCGTCACCACCCTCACCACCACCCTCACCACCACCACCCTCACCACCACCACCACCACCCTCACCACCACCACCACCACCACCCTCACCACCATCACCACCACCACCACCACCAACCACCACCAACCACCACCACCGTCACCACCACCCTCACCACCACCACCACCACCCTCACCACCATCACCACCACCATCACCACCACCATCACAATCACCACCACCACTATCACCACCATCACCACCCTCACCACCACCACCATCACCACCATCACCATCACCACCATCACCACCATCACCACCATCACCACCCTCACCACCACCACCACCCTCACCACCACCACCACCACCCTCACCACCACCACCACCATCACCATCACCATCTCCACCACCATCACCACCACCATCACCACCACCATCACCACCACCATCATCACCACCATCACCACCATCACCACCACCATCATCACCACCATCATCACCACCATCACCACCACCATCACCATCACCACCACCATCACCACCACCATCACCACCATCACCACCACCATCATCACCACCATCACCACCATCACCACCACCATCATCACCACCATCATCACCACCATCACCACCACCATCACCACCATCACCACCACCATCATCACCACCATCACCACCATCACCACCACCAACCACCACCACCGTCACCACCCTCACCACCACCCTCACCACCACCACCCTCACCACCACCACCACCACCATCACCATCACCATCTCCACCACCATCACCACCACCATCACCACCATCACCACCACCATCATCACCACCATCACCACCATCACCACCACCATCATCACCACCATCATCACCACCATCACCACCACCATCACCATCACCACCACCATCACCACCACCATCACCACCACCACCATCACCACCATCACCACCACCACCACCATCATCACCACCATCACCACCACCATCACCACCATCACCACCACCACCACCACCCTCACCACCACCCTAACCCTCACCACCACCACCACCACCACACTCACCACCCTAACCCTCACCACCACCACCACCACCCTCACCACCACCACCACCACCACCCTCACCACCACCCTAACCCTCACCACCACCACCACCCTCACCACCCTCACCACCACCACCACCACCACCACCCTCACCACCACCACCACCACCACCCTCACCACCACCCTAACCCTCACCACCACCACCACCCTCACCACCACCCTAACCCTCACCACCACCACCCGCAGGGCGTCTCTCCGGAGACTCTCATCTGGGCCACGGCCGAGGGCATTGCGGTTAAACCAGTGTACACTCGCCATGATGTCCCGCCCTCTCTCCGTGATGGCGGTGATGGTGGTGGTGGTGATGGTGGTGGTGGCGGTGGTGGTGGTGGTGGTGACGACCCACTGCCCGGGGTATTTCCCTACACGCGGGGCCCACACGCCACCATGTACACCCACCGGCCATGGACCGTGCGGCAATACGCTGGTTTTAGCACGGTGGAGGAGAGCAACACGTTTTACCGGTGAGGCGCTCGCTCTCACCGCTCGCTCGCTCACTCGCTCACCGCTCAGCCACTCACTCAGCCACTCAGCCACTCACCTACTCACTCACCGCTCGCTCGCTCACTCACCGCTCACTCACTCAGCCACTCACTCACTCAGTCACTCACCTACTCACCCACTCGCTCGCTCACTCAGTCACTCACCGCTCGCTCACTCACTCAGCCACTTACTCACTCAGTCACTCACCTACTCACCCACTCGCTCGCTCACTCAGTCACTCACCGCTCGCTCACTCACTCAGCCACTTACTCACTCAGCCACTCAGCCACTCACTCAGCCACTCAGCCACTTACTCACCGCTCGCTCACTCACTCACCGCTCACCCACTCACTCACTCACTCACCGCTCACTCACTCGCTCACTCAGCCACTCACTCACTCACTCAGCCACTCAGCCACTCAGCCACTTACTCACCGCTCACTCACTCACCGCTCACTCGCTCACTCACTCACCGCTCACTCAGCCACTTACTCACCGCTCACTCAGCCACTCACTCACTCAGCCACTCACTCAGCCACTCACTCACTCAGCCACTCACTCACTCACTCAGTCACTCATCCACTCACTCACTCAGCCACTCACTCACTCAGCCACTCACTCGCTCACTCGCTCACTCACCACTCACTCACTCAGCCACTCACTCACTCAGTCACTCAGCCACTCAGCCACTCACTCACTCAGCCACTCACTCACTCAGCCACTCACTCACTCAGCTACTCACTCACTCAGCCACTCACTCACTCAGCCACTCACTCACTCACTCAGCCACTCACTCACTCAGCCACTCACTCACTCACTCAACGCTCACTCAGCCACTCACTCACTCACTAAGCCACTCAGCCACTTACTCACCGCTCGCTCACTCACTCACTCACCGCTCACTCACTCACCACTCACTCAGCCACTCACTCACTCAGCCACTCACTCAGCCACTCACTCACTCAGTCACTCAGCCACTCAGCCACTCACTCACTCAGCCACTCACTCACTCAGCCACTCACTCACTCACTAAGCCACTCAGCCACTTACTCACCGCTCGCTCACTCACTCACTCACCGCTCACTCACTCACCACTCACTCAGCCACTCACTCACTCACTCACCGCTCACCCACTCACTTACTCACCGCTCACTCGCCCACTCACCACTCACTCACCGCTCACTCACTCACTCAGCCACTCACTCACTCACTCAGCAACTCACTCACTCACTCAGCCACTCACTCAGCCACTCACTCACTCACCACTCACTCACTCAGCCACTCACTCACTCACCACTCACTCAGCCGCTCACTCAGCCACTCACTCAGCCACTCACTCACTCAGCCACTCACTCACCGCTCACTCGCTTACTCACTCACCACTCACTCGCCACTCACTCACTCACCCACTCACCCACTCACTCACCGCTCACTCACTCAGCCACTCACTCACTCAGCCACTCACTCAGCCACTCACTCACTCAGCATTCACTCACTCAGCGACTCAGCCACTCACTCAGCCACTCACTCACTCAGCACTCACCACTCACCCACTAACTCACTCACCCACTCACTCACTCACCCACTCATTCACCACTCACTCAGCCACTCAGTCATTCACACACTCGCCACATACAGAGGGAGAGCCATAGATTATCTGTCTCTCTCTGTCTCTCTGTCTCTCCCTGTCTCACTCTCTTTGTGTCTCTGGGTCTCTGTGTCTCTGTGTCTCTCTGTCTCTCTGTGTCTCTGTCTCTCTGTCTCTCTGTCTCACTGTCTCTCTCACTGTGTCTCTCTGTCTCTCTCTTTCTCTCTGTCTCTCTGTCTCACTGTCTCTCTCACTGTGTCTCTGTGTCTCTGTGTTTCTGTCTCTGTCTCTCTGTGTCTCTGTGTGTCTGTGTGTGTCTCTGTGTCTCTGTGTCTCGCTGTTTCTCTCACTGTCTCTCTCTGTGTCTCTGTGTCTCTCTGTCTCTCTGTCTCTGTGTGTCTCTGTCTCTCTCACTGTGTCTGTGTGTCTCTGTGTCTCTGTCTCACTGTCTCTGTGTCTCGGTGCCTCTCTCTGTTTCTCTCTGTGTCTCTGTGTCTGTGTGTCTCTGTCTGTGTCTCTCTCTGTGTCTGTGTCTCTGTGTGTCCAGGGCCAACATCCTAGCTGGACAGCAGGGTCTGTCTGTGGCCTTTGACCTCCCCACTCACCGTGGCTATGACTCTGTGTCTCTGTCTCTCTGTGTCTCTCTCTGTGTCTCTGTGTGTCTGTGTCTCTCTCTCTCTCTGTGTCTCTGTGTCTGTGTGTCTGTGTGTCTCTCTGTGTCTGTGTGTGTCTCTCTCTGTGTCTCTGTATCTCTGTGTCTCTCACTGTGTCTCTGTGTGTCTCTGTGTCTCTGTGTCTGTGTCTCTCTGTGTCTCTGTCTCTGTGTCTCTGTCTCACTGTCTCTCTGTGTCTGTGTGTCTCTGTGTCTCTCAATGTGTCTGTGTCTCTCTGTGTCTCTCTCTCTGTGTCTTTCACTGTCTCGCTGTGTCTCTCTCTCTGTGTCTCTCACTGTCTCTCTGTCTCTGTGTCTCTGTCTCTCTCTGTGTCTCTGTGTGTCTCTGTGTCTCTCTCTCTCTGTCTCTCTCTCTGTGTCTCTGTCTCTCTGTGTCTGTCTGTGTGTGTCTCTGTGTCTCTGTGTCTCTGTCTCTGTGTCTCTGTCTCTGTGTCTCTGTCTCTCTCTGTGTCTCTGTGTCTCTCTGTGTCTCTGTGTCTCTCACTGTGTGTCCAGGGCCAACATTCGTGCTGGACAGCAGGGTCTGTCCGTGGCCTTTGACCTCCCCACTCACCGTGGCTATGACTCCGTGTCTCTGTGTCTCTGTCTCTCTCTGTCTCTGTGTGTCTGTGTGTCTCTGTCTCTCTGTGTCTCTCTGTCTGTGTGTCTCTGTGTGTCTCTCTCTCTGTGTGTCTGTGTCTCTGTGTGTCCAGGGCCAACATTCGTGCTGGCCAGCAGGGTCTCTCCGTGGCCTTTGACCTCCCCACTCACCGTGGCTACGACTCTGTGTCTCTGTCTCTCTGTCTCTGTGTCTCTGTCTCTGTGTCTCTGTCTAACTCTCTCTGTGTCTCTGTGTCCAGGGCCAACATTCGTGCTGGCCAGCAGGGTCTGTCCGTGGCCTTTGACCTCCCCACTCACCGTGGCTACGACTCTGTGTCTCTCTGTCTCTGTGTCTCTCTCTGTGTCTGTGTCTCTCTGTGTCTCTCTGTGTGTCTCTCTCTCTGTGTCTCTGTGTCTCTCTGTGTCTCTCTCTGTGTCTGTGTGTCCAGGGCCAACATTCGTGCTGGACAGCAGGGTCTCTCCGTGGCCTTTGACCTCCCCACTCACCGTGGCTACGACTCTGTGTCTCTGTGTCTCTGTGTCTCTCTCTGTCTCTCTGTGTCTCTGTGTGTCTCTGTCTGTGTGTCTCTCTGTGTCTGTGTGTCTGTGTCCAGGGCGAACATCCTAGCTGGACAGCAGGGTCTGTCCGTGGCCTTTGACCTCCCCACTCACCGTGGCTACGACTCTGTGTCTCTGTCTCTCTGTCTCTGTGTCTCTCTCTGTGTCTCTGTCTCTGTGTCTCTGTGTCTCTGTGTGTGTCTCTGTCTCTCTGTGTGTGTCTCTGTCTCTCTGTGTGCCTCTCTCTGTCTCTGTGTGTCTCTGTGTCTCTCACTGTGTCTCTCTCTCTCTGTGTCTCTGTGTCTGTGTGTCTGTGTCTCTCTCTGTCTCTGTGGCTCTCTCTGTCTCTCTGTCTCTCTGTGTCTGTGTCTCTGTGTCTGTGTCTCTGTGTCTGTGTCCAGGGCCAACATTCGTGCTGGCCAGCAGGGTCTGTCCGTGGCCTTTGACCTTCCCACTCACCGTGGCTACGACTCTGTGTCTCTGTGTCTCTGTGTCTCTCTCTGTCTCTCTGTGTCTCTGTGTGTCTCTGTCTGTGTGTCTCTCTGTGTCTGTGTGTCTGTGTCCAGGGCGAACATCCTAGCTGGACAGCAGGGTCTGTCCGTGGCCTTTGACCTCCCCACTCACCGTGGCTATGTCTCTGTGTCTCTGTGTCTCTGTGTGTGTCTCTGTCTCTCTGTGTGTGTCTCTGTCTCTCTGTGTGTCTCTCTCTGTCTCTGTGTGTCTCTGTGTCTCTCACTGTGTCTCTCTCTCTGTGTCTCTGTGTCTGTGTCTCTGTGTCTCTCTCTGTCTCTGTGGCTCTCTCTGTCTCTCTGTCTCTCTGTGTCTGTGTCTCTGTGTCTGTGTCCAGGGCCAACATTCGTGCTGGACAGCAGGGTCTGTCCGTGGCCTTTGACCTCCCCACTCACCGTGGCTACGACTCCGTGTGTCTCTGTCTCTGTGTCTCTGTCTAACTCTCTCTGTCTCTGTGTCTCTGTGTCTCTGTTCAGGGCCAACATCCTAGCTGGACAGCAGGGTCTCTCCGTGGCCTTTGACCTCCCCACTCACCGTGGCTACGACTCTGTATCTCTCTGTCTCTGTGTCTCTCTGTGTCTGTCTCTCTCTCTGTGTCTCTGTGTCTCTCTCTGTGTCTCTGTGTCTCTCTCTGTGTGTCTCTGTGTCTCTGTGTCTGTGTCCAGGGCCAACATTCGTGCTGGCCAGCAGGGTCTGTCCGTGGCCTTTGACCTCCCCACTCACCGTGGCTATGACTCTGTGTCTCTGTCTCTCTGTGTGTGTGTCTCTCTGTCTCTCTGTCTCTGTGTCTCTCTCTGTGTCTGTGTCTCTCTGTGTCTCTCTCTGTGTCTCTCTCTGTGTCTCTGTGTGTCTGTGTCTCTGTGTCTGTGTCCAGGGCCAATATTCGTGCTGGACAGCAGGGTCTCTCCGTGGCCTTTGACCTCCCCACTCACCGTGGCTACGACTCTGTGTCTCTGTGTGTGTGTCTCTCTGTGTCTCTGTGTGTCTCTGTGTGTCTCTCTCTGTATCTGTGTGTCTCTCTCTGTCTCTGTGTGTCTCTGTCTCTCACTGTCTCTCTCTGTGTCTCTCTCTCTGTGTCTCTCTCTGTGTCTCTGTGTCTCTCTGTGTCCAGGGCCAATATTCGTGCTGGACAGCAGGGTCTGTCCGTGGCCTTTGACCTCCCCACTCACCGTGGCTACGACTCTGTGTCTCTCTGTGTGTGTCTCTCTGTGTATCTGTGTCTCTCTCTGTCTCTCTGTGTCTCTGTGTGTCTCTGTCTGTGTGTTTCTCTGTGTCTGTGTGTCTGTGTCCAGGGCCAACATCCTAGCTGGACAGCAGGGTCTCTCCGTGGCCTTTGACCTCCCCACTCACCGTGGCTACGACTCTGTGTCTCTGTCTCTCTGTCTCTGTGTCTCTGTCTCTGTGTCTCTGTCTAACTCTCTCTGTGTCTCTGTGTCCAGGGCCAACATTCGTGCTGGCCAGCAGGGTCTGTCCGTGGCCTTTGACCTCCCCACTCACCGTGGCTATGACTCTGTGTCTCTGTCTGTCTCTCTCTGTGTCTCTGTCTCTGTGTCTCTGTCTAACTCTCTCTGTGTCTCTGTGTCCAGGGCCAACATCCTAGCTGGACAGCAGGGTCTCTCCGTGGCCTTTGACCTCCCCACTCACCGTGGCTACGACTCTGTGTCTCTGTCTCTCTGTCTCTGTGTCTCTGTCTCTGTGTCTCTGTCTAACTCTCTCTGTGTCTCTGTGTCCAGGGCCAACATTCGTGCTGGCCAGCAGGGTCTGTCCGTGGCCTTTGACCTCCCCACTCACCGTGGCTATGACTCTGTGTCTCTGTCTCTCTGTGTGGCTCTCTCTGTGTCTCTCTCTGTGTCTCTCACTGTCTCTCTCTGTGTCTCTCTCTGTGTCTCTGTGTCTCTGTCTAACTCTCTCTGTGTCTGTGTGCAGGGCCAACATTCGTGCTGGCCAGCAGGGTCTGTCCGTGGCCTTTGACCTCCCCACTCACCGTGGCTACGACTCCGTGTGTCTCTGTCTCTGTGTCTCTGTCTAACTCTCTCTGTCTCTGTGTCTCTGTGTCTGTGTGCAGGGCCAACATTCGTGCTGGCCAGCAGGGTCTGTCCGTGGCCTTTGACCTCCCCACTCACCGTGGCTACGACTCTGTGTGTCTGTGTGTCTCTGTCTATCTGTGTCTCTCTCTGTCTCTGTGTCTCTGTGTCTGTGTGTCTGTGTCTCTGTGTCCAGGGCCAACATTCGTGCTGGCCAGCAGGGTCTGTCCGTGGCCTTTGACCTCCCCACTCACCGTGGCTACGACTCTGTGTCTCTGTGTGTGTGTCTCTCTGTGTCTCTGTGTGTCTCTGTGTGTCTCTCTCTCTGTATCTGTGTGTCTCTCTCTGTATCTGTGTGTCTCTCTCTGTCTCTGTGTGTCTCTGTCTCTCACTGTCTCTCTCTGTGTCTCTCTCTCTGTGTCTCTCTCTCTCTCTGTGTCTCTGTGTCTCTCTGTGTCCAGGGCCAACATTCGTGCTGGCCAGCAGGGTCTGTCCGTGGCCTTTGACCTCCCCACTCACCGTGGCTACGACTCTGTGTCTCTGTCTCTCTGTCTCTGTGTCTCTCTCTGTGTCTCTGTCTCTGTGTCTCTGTGTCTCTGTGTGTGTCTCTGTCTCTCTGTGTGTGTCTCTGTCTCTCTGTGTGTCTCTCTCTGTCTCTGTGTGTCTCTGTGTCTCTCACTGTGTCTCTCTCTCTGTGTCTCTGTGTCTGTGTGTCTGTGTGTCTATGTGTCTGTGTCTCTCTCTGTCTCTGTGGCTCTCTCTGTCTCTCTGTGTCTGTGTCTCTGTGTCTGTGTCCAGGGCCAACATTCGTGCTGGCCAGCAGGGTCTGTCCGTGGCCTTTGACCTCCCCACTCACCATGGCTATGACTCTGTGTCTCTGTCTCTCTGTGTGGCTCTCTCTGTGTCTCTCTCTGTGTCTCTCACTGTCTCTCTCTGTGTCTCTCTCTGTGTCTCTGTGTCTCTGTCTAACTCTCTCTGTGTCTGTGTGCAGGGCCAACATTCGTGCTGGCCAGCAGGGTCTGTCCGTGGCCTTTGACCTCCCCACTCACCGTGGCTACGACTCCGTGTGTCTCTGTCTCTCTGTGTCTCTCTGTCTCTGTGTCTCTCTGTGTCTCTCTCTGTGTCTGTGTCTCTCTGTGTCTCTCTGTGTCTCTCTCTGTGTCTGTGTGCAGGGCCAACATTCGTGCTGGACAGCAGGGTCTGTCCGTGGCCTTTGACCTCCCCACTCACCGTGGCTATGACTCTGTGTGTCTCTGTCTCTCTCTCTCTGTCTCTGTGTGTCTCTCTGTGTCTCTGTGTCTCTGTCTAACTCTCTCTATGTCTCTGTGTCTCTCTCTGTGTCCAGGGCCAACATTCGTGCTGGACAGCAGGGTCTCTCCGTGGCCTTTGACTTCCCCGCTCACCGTGGCTACGACTCTGTGTATCTGTGTGTCTCTGTGTCTCTCTGTGTCTCTGTGTGTCTCTGTCTGTGTGTCTCTCTGTGTCTGTGTGTCTGTGTCCAGGGCCAACATTCGTGCTGGCCAGCAGGGTCTGTCCGTGGCCTTTGACCTCCCCACTCACCGTGGCTACGACTCTGTGTGTCTCTGTCTCTCTGTCTCTCTGTGTCTCTGTCTAACTCTCTCTGTGTCTGTCTCTGTGTGTCTCTCTCTCTGTGTGTCTGTGTCTCTGTGTGTCCAGGGCCAACATTCGTGCTGGCCAGCAGGGTCTGTCCGTGGCCTTTGACCTCCCCACTCACCGTGGCTACGACTCTGTGTCTCTGTGTGTGTGTCTCTCTGTGTCTCTCTCTGTCTCTGTGTGTCTCTGTCTCTCACTGTCTCTCTCTGTGCAGGGCCAACATTCGTGCTGGCCAGCAGGGTCTGTCCGTGGCCTTTGACCTCCCCACTCACCGTGGCTACGACTCTGTGTCTCTGTGTCTCTCTCTGTCTCTCTGTGTCTCTGTGTGTCTCTGTCTGTGTGTCTCTCTGTGTCTGTGTGTCTGTGTCCAGGGCCAACATTCGTGCTGGACAGCAGGGTCTGTCCGTGGCCTTTGACCTCCCCACTCACCGTGGCTACGACTCTGTGTCTCTGTGTGTCTCTGTCTAACTCTCTCTGTGTCTCTGTCTCTGTGTCTCTGTCTCTGTGTCTCTGTGTCTCTCTCTGTGTCTCTGTGTCTCTGTCTAACTCTCTCTGTGTCTGTGTCCAGGGCCAACATTCGTGCTGGCCAGCAGGGTCTGTCCGTGGCCTTTGACCTCCCCACTCACCGTGGCTACGACTCTGTGTCTCTGTCTCTCTCTCTGTGTCTCTGTGTGTCTCTGTGTCTCTGTGTGTCTCTCTCTGTGTCTCTGTGTCTCTGTCTAACTCTCTCTGTGTCTGTATGCAGGGCCAACATTCGTGCTGGCCAGCAGGGTCTGTCCGTGGCCTTTGACCTCCCCACTCACCGTGGCTACGACTCCGATGATCCCCGCGTCGCTGGCGACGTTGGAATGGCCGGGGTCGCCATCGACTCCATTGAGGACATGAAGCTCCTCTTTCAGGTGTCTCTCTGTGTGTGTCTCTGTGTGTGTCTCCGTGTGTCTCCCTGTCTCTCTGTCTGTGTGTGTGTCTCTGTCTCTCTGTGTGTCTCTGTGTGTCTCCGTGTGTCTCTGTCTCTGTGTGTGTCTCTGTGTCTCTGTCTCCCTGTCTCCCTGTCTGTGTCTCTGTCTCCCTGTCTCTCCCTGTGTCTCTGTGTGTCTCTGTGTGTCTCTCTCTGTGTCTCCCTGTCTCTGTCTCTGTGTCTCTCTCTGTGTCTCCCTGTCTCCCTGTCTCCCTGTCTCTCTGTGTCTCTGTGTCTCTGTCTCCCTGTCTCCCTGTCTGTGTCTCTCTGTCTCCCTGTCTCCCTGTCTGTGTCTCTGTCTCCCTGTCTGTCTCTATGTGTGTCTCTGTCTCTGTCTCCCTGTGTCTCTGTGTCTTTGTGTGTCTCCCTGTGTCTCCTGTCTCCCTGTCTCCGTGTCTCCCTGTGTCTCTGTGTCTTTGTGTGTCTCCCTGTCTCCCTGTGTCTCCTGTCTCCCTCTCTGTGTCTCTGTCTCCCTGTCTGTCTCTCTGTGTGTCTCTGTCTCCCTGTGTCTCTGTGTCTCCCTGTCTCCCTGTGTCTCTGTGTGTGTCCCTGTCTCCCTGCCTCCCTGTGTCTCTGTGTTTGTCTCTGTCTCCCTGTCTGTGTCTCTGTGTGTGTATGTCTCCCTGTGTCTCTGTGTGTGTGTCTCCCTGTCTGTGTCTCTGTGTTGTCTCTGTCTCCCTGCCTGTGTCTCTCTGTCTCCCTGTATCCCTGTCTGTGTCTCTGTGTCTCTCGCTCTGTCTCCCTGTCTCCCTGTGTCTCTGTCTCCCTGTCTGTGTCTCTGTCTCCCTGTGTCTCTGTCTCCCTGTCTGTGTCTCTGTCTCCCTGTCTGTGTCTCTGTCTCCCTGTGTCTCTGTCTCCCTGTCTGTGTCTCTGTCTCCCTGTCTCCCTGTGTCTCTGTCTCCCTGTCTGTGTCTCTGTCTCTCTGTCTCCCTGTCTCCCTGTCTGTGTCTCTGTCTGTGTCTCTGTCTGTGTCTCTGTCTCCCTGTCTCCCTGTCTGTGTCTCTGTCTCTCTGTCTCCCTGTCTCCCTGTCTGTGTCTCTGTCTCCCTGTCTCCCTGTGTCTCTGTCTCCCTGTCTGTGTCTCTGTCTCTCTGTCTCCCTGTCTCCCTGTCTGTGTCTCTGTCTGTGTCTCTGTCTCTCTCTCTGTCTCTCTCTCACTGTCTCTCTCTGTCTCTCCCTGTCTCTCATTCTGTCTGTCCCTGTCTCTCCGTCTCTCTCTCTCCCCGTCTCTCACTGTCTCTGTCTCTCCCCGTCTCTCTCTCTCCCCGTGTCTCTCTCCGTCTCTCTCCCCGTGTCTCTCTCCCCGTGTCTCTCTCCCCGTGACTCTCTCCCCGTGTCTCTCTCCCCGTGTTTCTCTCCCCGTGTCTCTCTCTCCCCATCTCACCCCGTGTCTCTCTGTCTCTCTGTCTCTCTCACTGTCTCTCTCTCTGTCTCTCTCCCCCCGTGTCTCTCTCCCCACGTGTCTCTCTCTCCCCGTGTCTCTCTCTCGAAGTGTCTCTCTCCCCCCGTGTCTCTCTCTCCCCGTGTCTCTCCCCGTGTCTCTCTCTCCCCGTGTCTCTCTCTCTCCCCGTGTCTCTCTCTCCCCCCGTGTCTCTCTCCCCACGTGTCTCTCTCTCCCCGTGTCTCTCTCTCGAAGTGTCTCTCTCCCCCCGTGTCTCTCTCTCCCCGTGTCTCTCCCCGTGTCTCTCTCTCCCCGTGTCTCTCTCTCCCCGTGTCTCTCCCCGTGTCTCTCTCCCCGTGTCTCTCTCTCCCCGTGTCTCTCTCCCCGTGTCTCTCTCTCCCCGTGTCTCTCTCCCCGTGTCTCTCTCCCCGTCTCTCCCCGTGTCTCTCTCCCCGTGTCTCTCTCACCCGTGTCTCTCTCTCACATGTCTCTCTCTCCCCGTGTCTCTCTCCCCGTGTCTCTCCCCGTGTCTCTCTCTCCCCGTGTCTCTCTCTCTCCCCGTGTCTCTCTCCCCGTGTCTCTCTCTCCCCGTGTCTCTCCCCGTCTCTCTCCCCCCGTCTCTCCCCGTGTCTCTCTCTCCCCGTGTCTCTCTCTTTGTCTCTCTCTCTCCCCGTGTCTCTCCCCGTGTCTCTCTCCCCGTGTCTCTCTCTCCCCGTCTCTCTCTCCCCGTGTCTCTCTCACCCCGTGTCTCTCTCTCCCATGTCTCTCTCTCCCCGTGTCTCTCTCTCTCCGTCTCTCTCTCTCTCCGTCTCTCTCTCTCTCCGTCTCTCTCTCTCTCCCCGTGTCTCCCCGTGTCTCTCTCCCCGTGTCTCTCTCTCCCCGTGTCTCTCTCCCCGTGTCTCTCTCTCCCCGTCTCTCTCTCTCCCCGTGTCTCTCTCCCCGTGTCTCTCTCTCCCCGTGTCTCTCTCCCCGTCTCTCTCTCTCTCCGTCTCTCTCTCTCTCCCCGTGTCTCCCCGTGTCTCTCTCCCCGTGTCTCTCTCTCCCCGTGTCTCTCTCCCCGTGTCTCTCCCCCCGTGTCTCTCTCCCCGTGTCTCTCTCCCCGTGTCTCTCTCTCCCCGTGTCTCTCTCCCCGTGTCTCTCTCTCCCCGTGTCTCTCTCCCCGTGTCTCTCTCCCCGTGTCTCTCTCTCCCCGTGTCTCTCTCCCCGTGTCTCTCTCTCCCCGTGTCTCTCTCTCCCCGTGTCTCTCTCTCCCTCTCTCTCTCTCCCCGTGTCTCTCTCCCCGTGTCTCTCTCCGTCTCTCTCCCGTGTCTCTCTCCCCGTGTCTCTCTCCCCGTGTCTCTCTCCCCGTGTCTCTCTCCCCCTGTGTCTCTCTCCCCGTCTCTCTTCCCCCGTCTCCCCCCGTGTCTCTCTGTCTCTCTCACTGTCTCTCTCTGTCTCTCCCCGTGTCTCTCTCCCCGTGTCTCTCTCTCCCCGTGTCTCTCTCTCTGTCTCTCTCTCTCCCCGTCTCTCTCTCCCCGTGTCTCTCTCTCCCCGTGTCTCTCTCCCCGTGTCTCTCTCCCCGTGTCTCTCTCCCCGTGTCTCTCCCCATGTCTCTCCCCGTGTCTCTCCCCGTGTCTCTCTCTCCCCGTGTCTCTCTCCCCGTGTCTCTCTCCCCGTGTCTCTCTCCCCGTGTCTCTCTCCCCGTGTCTCTCTCCCCGTGTCTCTCTCTCCCCGTGTCTCTCCCCGTGTCTCTCTCTCCCCGTGTCTCTCCCCGTGTCTCTCTCTCCCCGTCTCTCTCTCCCCGTGTCTCTCTCACCCCGTGTCTCTCTCTCTCCCCGTGTCTCTCACCCCGTGTCTCTCTCTCTCCCCGTGTCTCTCTCTCCCCGTGTCTCTCTCCCCGTGTCTCTCACCCCGTGTCTCTCTCCCCGTGTCTCTCTCCCCGTGTCTCTCTCCCCGTCTCTCCCCGTGTCTCTCTCTCTCTGTCTCTCTCCCCGTCTCTCCCCGTGTCTCTCTCACCCCGTGTCTCTCTCTCTCCGTCTCTCCCCATCTCTCCCCGTGTCTCTCTCCCCGTCTCTCTCTCTCTCCGTCTCTCTCTCTCTCCCCGTGTCTCCCCGTGTCTCTCTCCCCGTGTCTCTCTCTCCCCGTGTCTCTCTCCCCGTGTCTCTCTCTCCCCGTCTCTCTCTCTCCCCGTGTCTCTCTCCCCGTGTCTCTCTCCCCGTCTCTCTCTCTCTCCGTCTCTCTCTCTCCGTGTCTCCCCGTGTCTCTCTCCCCGTGTCTCTCTCTCCCCGTGTCTCTCTCCCCGTGTCTCTCCCCCCGTGTCTCTCTCCCCGTGTCTCTCTCTCCCCGTGTCTCTCTCTCCCCGTGTCTCTCTCCCCGTGTCTCTCTCTCCCCGTGTCTCTCTCCCCGTGTCTCTCTCCCCGTGTCTCTCTCTCGCCGTGTCTCTCTCCCCGTGTCTCTCTCTCCCCGTGTCTCTCTCTCCCCGTGTCTCTCTCTCCCTCTCTCTCTCTCCCCGTGTCTCTCTCCCCGTGTCTCTCTCCCCGTGTCTCTCTCCCCGTGTCTCTCTCCCCGTGTCTCTCTCCCCGTGTCTCTCTCCCCGTGTCTCTCTCCCCGTGTCTCTCTCCCCCTGTGTCTCTCTCCCCGTCTCTCTCCCCCCGTCTCCCCCCGTGTCTCTCTGTCTCTCTGTCTCTCTCACTGTCTCTCTCTGTCTCTCCCCGTGTCTCTCTCCCCGTGTCTCTCTCTCCCCGTGTCTCTCTCTCTGTCTCTCTCTCTCCCCGTCTCTCTCTCCCCGTGTCTCTCTCTCCCCGTGTCTCTCTCCCCGTGTCTCTCTCCCCGTGTCTCTCTCCCCGTGTCTCTCCCCGTGTCTCTCCCCGTGTCTCTCCCCGTGTCTCTCTCTCCCCGTGTCTCTCTCCCCGTGTCTCTCTCCCCGTGTCTCTCTCCCCGTGTCTCTCTCCCCGTGTCTCTCTCTCCCCGTGTCTCTCCCCGTGTCTCTCTCTCCCCGTGTCTCTCCCCGTGTCTCTCTCTCCCCGTGTCTCTCTCCCTCTCTCTCTCCCCGTGTCTCTCCCCCCGTGTCTCTCTCCCCGTGTCTCTCTCCCCGTCTCTCTCTCCCCGTGTCTCTCTCACCCCGTGTCTCTCTCCCCGTGTCTCTCCCCATCTCACCCCGTGTCTCTCTCTCACTGTCTCTCTCTCCCCGTGTCTCTCTCCCCGTGTCTCTCTCTCCCCGTGTCTCTCTCTCCCCGTGTCTCTCTCTCTCCCCGTCTCTCTCTCCCCGTGTCTCTCTCTCTCTCCCCGTGTCTCTCCCCGTGTCTCTCTCTCTCCCCGTCTCTCTCTCCCCGTGTCTCTCTCTCTCTCTCCCCGTGTCTCTCTCCCCGTGTCTCTCTCCCCGTGTCTCTCTCTCCCCGTGTCTCTCTCTCTCACTGTCTCTCTCTCTCCCCGTCTCTCTCTCCCCGTGTCTCTCTCTCTCTCCCTCTCTCTCTCCCCGTGTCTCTCTCTCCCCGTGTCTCCCCGTGTCTCTCTCCCCGTGTCTCTCTCTCTCACTGTCTCTCTCTCTCCCCGTCTCTCTCTCCCCGTGTCTCTCTCTCTCTC